ACACACTGCGACTAAGAATAGTACAGGCAATGTAACAATTTCATAGAAAAAAAAAATTTGATCCGTCGTTTGTCAAATAATTACCAGTAAGCATATATAATATTCCCATAAATGATGGCATTCAACGAGTGTTTCTCTTTCGCCTCCTGAAACCAGTGATCTGCAGCTCTTCCAAGACAAATGCAAATGTAATACAATTTAGATAAATAAAGATGCATAAGAAAAACGACTCGTGAATATGAAAACAGAAATAAATTGAGTGAACAAACTCTAAAAGACTAGATAATACAGAAAAATAGCATCTACTTCCTAGAACCAAACATTGGGCGAAAAGCAACCTTTGATGATTTTCCGCAAAGTTCCCCCTGCAGCAATAAGATTCAACTTCCTTCTGAACGAAACATGCAACAAGCTAGACCCAAGTCTAAGCTCAAGCCCACTACTAACCGATATTGTCTTCTTTGGGCTTTTCCTTTTGGGCTTCCCCTCAAGGTTTTAAAATGCGTCTGCTAAGGAGAGGTTTCCACACACTTGTAAGGAATGCTTTGTTCCCCTCTCTAACCGATGTGAGATCTCACAATCCACCCCCCTTGGGAGCCCAGAGTCCTCGCTGCCAGTGTTTGACTCTGATATCATTTGTAAAAGCCCAAGCCCAAGCCCACCGCTAACAGATATTGACCTCTTTGGGCTTTTCCTTCTGGGCTTCCCCTCAAGGTTTTAAAACGTGTCTGTTAGGGAGAAGTTTACACACCTTTGTAAAGAATGGTTTGTTCCCCTCTCCAACCAATGTGAGATCTCACAGAGTATTACCATGGAACCCTCAGAATGAAGGCGGCCACCACTTGACTACAAGCCCTTAATTGATAAACTTAAATACACATAAGTCAAGAAGCCTGATCAAATGTTTTGACTACAAGCCCTTAATTGATAAACTTAAATACAAAATAGTCAAGAAGCCTGATCAAATGTTCATAAGGTCTGAGAAAACATGCACAGCCTTTTTTCAGATGAGAGCCAAGTATCACTAAAGTGATTGACCATTTGGTATTTGTAGGTTTTACCAATCAACAATGGAAACGAATGGCAAGAAAATCAATCTAAGGATTTAAAAATAACAGGGCAAAGTTTATATATAATGAAAACTCTATGAACCTATGTACTCACACATGAAATGATAATTACTTACTCTGCATTTCCCATTTTGGCAAATCCACCCACAACAATGCTGTAAGTTACCAAACTCATTTCTATGCCTTCCTCTTTCATTTTTCTGACACAAGATAATGCTTCTTCCATATCTCTACCCACTGCATAAGCATGTATAAGGCTGCGCATCATGAAGCATTCAAAATAAATCAAGCTTGAACTAATATATTTGGAACATAATAAAAGGAAAGAGAAATGTTTAGGAATAGTTATTACTTTGTGTAGACATGAGACGTCGGTTCTATTCCTCTAGCTCGCATCTTTTCAAATGTTTCACGTGCACGATGCATATCACCTCTTCTTGCATAGTAGTTCACCATCAAACTATACTCCTTCCTAGAAGGCTTGACGATAGTACAATTCACCCCGTAACAACAAAAAATATCAAAACAATTAATATGAAATGTCCAAATTCAGTCCTCTAAAGAATATGTAACGGTGAACGTGACATGTTTTAGGGCTTGCATACACTATTGCACATGAATTTGTCATTGTGAGTGCAAGTTTGAATGAACGGATTCAAGTAGGCATGACGATACTTTGGGGTATTAAAACACATACTAAGCTTGAATAAAACTCTCAAAACAAACAGCAAAATTCATGGAAAACCCAGAATTGTCCGTTATAAGCAAAATCTATTCCAAAAGCATACATACATCAATTGTGAACTAACAGATTAAAGTATGTACCATGAAGTCTACATCTAATTTTGCCAACCTCACTGTGAGATCCCATATCGGTTGGGGAGGAGAACAAATCATTCTTTATAAGGGTGTGAAAACCTCTCCTTAGCAAACATGTTTTAAAAACCTGGAGGGAAAGCTCGAAAAGGAAAAGAGGACAACATCGACTAACTGTGGGCTTGGGCTATTACACTCACTAACTATTACACCTTCTTTTTTTGAAAACCAAACTTTGACTTAGATAAATGAAAAAACAAAAACGTCGAGTATAAATGACATATGTACTTGTAATTAGAGAACACACCATCTACGATATTACACTACTGCCAAGGAGTTATCTAACCAAACATAGATAAAAAAACCATGAAAAATGCAAGACACCTAAGGAAACATGAACTTGTAATACAATAGCTCATGGTCCCTTGCTCGAAGTTAGCAATATCGGCTAGAACTGCGGAGAAATTATTCGACCCGAACTTGAGTTGAGATTCTGAATAAGAATTTACATAACTTGAAAAACAATCCATCTAGCACCATATTGTAAAAACATAAATTATTCTCATCTGTATAAGAGAATTATAGCATAATTCAAGAAGCCGCTAATTCAAAAACATTCCAAAGGAATTGAAGAAGCTACCTTTTTAATCCTCTCGAAGGCTGAGACAACCGCCTGCCAATCCCCCGGCTCTGTCTCAATAACCATGCGCAAGCCCTTCCGTGCCTTATCCCTCTCTTCATGCCATTGTGAACGAAACTCCACACTGTCATCTCCCTCCATCCATTTCGCCCTCTCATACGCCTTCTCCTTTAACCTCCTCCCATCATCCAATTTCACAGTCAAAACTCTTCCGTGAAACTCCACTCCATCAAACTCAACGGCTTTCATGGCCGACTTAGCTGCAGTCGACCCATCATATATGACGAATCCGTATCCGGCATTTCTTTTCGTAGTATCGTGGCCCTTAATCAATATCACATTGTTGACAGGACCAAACTGCCGAAAAAACTGTTGAACCTCATGCTTCTTTATCCAATTAGGCAAGTTTCCGACAAAAATCTTACCCTCTTGCCGGAATTGAACTTCTCTACGCCCCTCACTCGAAGAATCCTCGGTTTCAATTTCTTCGTTTTCGCTTTCATCTTCCTCCGGTATCTCGGTGATCGGGGGAGGCAGTGGAGAGAGCTTACTGGAAAGCCAGAGCTTATCGGCGACCGAGTGGGAAACAGGGGGCGGAGGCGGCGGCGGAGGCAAAGGAAAAACGGGAACATTGGCAGAGCCGACCAGATTCTTGAGAGGATTAGACGGAACTTTAGAGGTGGTGCGTTTAGGGGAGGAAGAGGTTTTTAGGATTTGTGGGCGACGAATTCGGCTAGAGATTGAGGCGGTTGAGCCGGAGGAATCGTCAGAATCGGAACGAGGCGGCGGCGGCGGAGGCGGACGCTTCAATGAGAAAACAATTAGGGTGGAAGAAGGGTGAGAATGGTGGTGACGACGGCGAGGTGGCGCGAAGACGGCGGAGGAAGTGGTGGAGGTGGCGTTTGAGAGTGAACGAACATCCATTATCTTTATCCCTCTTTAGCCTCTGGTTTGTTTTCAAGCTCCCACCAACTGGTGGTAAGTTCGGATATTTTCAAATTACTTTTTTTTTTTTTTAATTTCGGATATTTTTTTATCCCAATATTTACAAAGTAATTATAAATAATCCTTATTTATTTTAATTTAACAATATGCTGACTAGACCTGCTGACGTGGATGGAATGACAAATTTAAATATGTTGTGGATGAGATAATGAGTTTATTTTATGGCAAATAAATCAAATAATTAATTGAAAATTAAATTATTAATTAATCAAATAAATAAAATAAGTGAAAATTGGAGAAAAATTGAAAATGGTTATTTCATGTCAATGGAATAATTGAATTTCAATTGGAAAAAAATAAAAAATTAAAATTAAAAAGAGAAAATAATAATAATAATTTCAAATATTTATTATTTAAAGCTCGGGAACGCCATTTGGAACAGAAAATGCATGGCGTAGTCATAGTCGTAGCGGGAAGGCAGCAAAATTTTCAGAGTCGTTGCAGCTTCAATGGCGGGAACGATCGAGGGAAACGCCATGGAAACGCCGAAGCAGAGAGAGGAAGAAAAAATTTGTAAACTGGCATGGTGGATAGGAATCAGCAATGTCTTATCAAGAGTCATTCCCCAAACGCGCTTCGAGGCCTTGTGTAATGTAAGAGCATCGATGAAACTGGTCGAGATTTTGTTTTACGCTTTACATTTTCTTATTCGAATATTCGCATCTCTTATTTCGTTCCGATCATTACATTTTGAGATTTGAATTTGAGAGCCTCTATTTTTATCGATGTTGATTGTGTTCGATCTTAGGGCTGATTGTGTCTGACTGCTTGTAATGCGGTCGTTTCTATTTGAAAATACTTTCGTCTTTGAACATGAGTATTGAGGAATTAGAGAGAGGACGAGCGATTCGGTAGACTAACGGAGTGAATAGACATCGGCAATGCCTTTCGTTCTCCAGATGATTTTTGAAACCTTGCGTGATGGATTTGCATTGATGAAGCTGATCGAGGTCAGTTTCATAGTTTACTGTTAGCTTTAATTCCATATTTTGCATCTCTAGTTTCAATATCATCGAAATTTTGCACATAAATTTGAGAATATAGTTCTTTTGCAAAATTTACTGGATTCGGTCTCAGAACAAATGGTGTATGGATGCTTGGATGTTTGTACTGTATCATTTGTTAAAATATCACTAGCACAATAATGGTATGAATAAAGAGGGTAGAGTTGTGTTCCACGGTTAGAAATCACTAATCTCCACAATGGTATCATATTGTCCACTTTGTGTTCAACTACTCCCAATAATCCTCAACAATCCTGAAGCTTATGGAGCTCTCGAATAGCCTCCCCTAAATCGAGGCTCGACTCCTTCCTCTGGAGCCCTCGAACAAAGTACACCATTTGTTCGACACTTAAGTCACTTTTGACTACACCTTTGAGGCTCACAATTCTTTGTTCGATATTTGAGGATGAATCACAAATTTCCACAAATGGTATGATATTATCCACTTTGAGCATAAGTTCTCATGGCTTTGCTTTGGGCTTCCCCAAAAGGCCTCATACCAATAGAGATAGTATTCCTCATTTATAAACCCATTATCCTCCATTAAATTAACCATGGGACTCACTCTCAATAATCCTCAACATCATTCCTGTTTGAAAGCACTTCTGTTTTTTTGAATTTTGAATGATTTCCCTTCTAGCTGATTCTCATATCACATCATCGCTTGTTTCGTTTCATTTTTCTTTGATTTTGATGTTTTGGTTGCATGCACAAAACACTCGGAGAAGACAAGATGGAGGAATGGTTTCACAATTTGAAGGCTAATGCTAGACTTCCGGACAAAATTTGGTTCATTTTCACATGTAAGCCCTTCAATAAACAGAGAAATAGCATAATGTATATCCATTAACTTTGTTACTAAGTTTCATTTGTTTTTCTCAACGCAATATGTTATATCATTTTTGTGCTTGTTTTATAGGAAATCTGACCAAATAGACGGGAACTGAAGCATTTGGTTTAACTACATCCAACAAAATACAGTAAAGAGCTTGATCGCTGGTAACTAAATTTGTTGTTTAACCATTAATTGAGTGTCACGTATTTCTCAAAAGAAGCGATTCGATTGATGGGTCTATGGTTCCTCATCAGTTGTCTTGTAGTTCTTGTGATGACATGCTAGGAGCTTAAGTAAGTCTTATTGGCTATTACTAAATCGAAAGTGCTTAAATCTCTCCAATTTTTCTCAGTCTACCGAATGGAATAGAGATATCCCAATCACCCAAAAAAATTGATTTCTTTTTTTTCAAAAAAGTAAAGAATCGTTATTATAACGAAGAAACTAATACATTTAGGTATGAAGTATCATAAAATAAACTAAATTTGATAACCTGCTACTAGTAAATAACAAATCTAGTCACAAATTCCACCCAAAAACCATATTTTGATATTCAGATATTCAATTGGATAACCTGCTACTAGTAAATAACAAATCTAGTCACAAATTCCACCCAAAAACCATATTTTGATTGATCTCAAGAACCTTCGGTTATTTTTCCTCTTCATAACCCAGCTTTCTACAGATTCTCCTCCGGGTGCTCCCTTTGGAGGCAGCCTTGATATTAGAAGACTCTTACAGATGTGCAGTGGCAGCCAAAGCTGCAGCTACCAGAAGCCACATGTCGTTCTCATGGCGATTTCCTGCATTGACTGGTCGACCTCGGCGGCGTTGTGCTTGCGCTGAACCAGCTACGTAAATGGGGATTACGGCACTACCTCCTCCTGTATGAGGACTACTGACACCACCACCTCTGCTGGCACCACCTCCTACTGTATGAGGACTACTAACACCACCACCTCTGCTGGCACCACCTCCATGAGCAACCGCCTGAGAAACGGTGATCGCACATGCACGGTTTCTTCTGCCAATCTGGTTAGTAGCCCCATCTTCGCCATGTTTTTCTGTGTTAGTTTTCTGGTGGCAATTGGACTCTGCACGCATATGGAATCTGGTTTAGGAATGAGGATATAATAAAAATTTCGTTTTATTACTTTCTTTTTTCCTTCATTTTTTAAAGTTTACATTTCAGCGTAAGTTCCTTCGTTTTAAAATATTATTCTGATCTACGTCTCGACCCATTATATTTTTGGTGTTTTGTATTGGATGTTGGAAGTCCCATGTCGGCTAATTTAGGAAATGTCATGGGTTTATAAGTGAGGAATACTAACTCCATTGGTGTAAGGCTTTTTGGGAAAGCCCAAAGCAAAACCATGAGAGTTTATGCTCAAAGTAGACAATATCATACCATTATGGAGAGTCGTGTTCGTTTAACATAGTATCAGAGTCATACCCTAAACTTAGTCGTGCCAATAAATTGGTAAATCCTCAAATATCGAATAAAGAACTCCAAAAGAAAAGCCTCCTCGAATGCCGTAAAAATTAACTAAGACTCCAAAGAAGTCGAGCCTCGATTAAGGGGAGGCGCACTTTGTTCGAGGAAAAGTGTTGGATGATGGAAGTCTCACATCGGCTAATTTAGGGAATGATCATGAGTTTATAAGTGAGGAATACTAACTTCATTGGTGTGAGGCCTTTTGGGGAAGCCCAAAGCAAATCCATGAGAGTTTATGCTCAAAGTGGACAATATCATACCATTGTGGAGAGTTGGAGTTTATGCTCAAAGTAGACCATATCATACCATTGTGGAGAGTTGGAGTTTATAATCAAAGTGGACAATATCATACCATTGTGGAGAGTCGTGTTGGTCTAACATTTTGTACATTAATTATAGACTTATTTTCTCTATTAAAATTTACATGTATATTTATTTTCTTTATTTATATTTATTTTTATTTTTATTTTCTCAAATAAAATTTATTTGTATGTTTATTTTCTCTATTAAACTTGATTTATATATTTATTTTCTTTATTAAACATGATTTATATATTTATTTTCTTTATTAAACGTTATTTATATATCTTTCCATAGAATATTAAACTTTATTTGATTCATACATTTCTTTCCTTTTGACATTAAAAGATACCTATATTCTTCTATTCATCTTTTTATTATTTTCGCTTTAACTTTACTATTTTACACAGATCTTCATTCATCCGAATTTGTCGTTTATGGCATGTACACTTTATTTCAGGTCTTTGTTTGACTCATTATTCAACTTTATCTTTATAGACTTTTATGGTTTATCTCATTTTACTTTTTAATAACTTCCTTTTACATAATTTATTTTAAAAAGAATAAATACAATAAATGAACTTATAAATCCCTTTTTATTTAAGCAGAAAATTTGTGTCAGAAATATGAGCATATAATGAGAGAAAAATTGTACTGACCTGTTGCCAAGATTTCTTGCAGAGAAGATGCTATGGCCATGGCAGAACCAAACAGTATGAAAATCAATCCTATCTCTCTTCTTCCCATTTTCTTACACGCAGCTTCTCTCTCTGGATCTCTCTATGTGGTTTTAGGATTAATTAATGCTGTGGCTTATTTATACTAAACGGTGGGTGGGTGAGGAAGACGAAGTCTAAAGCAATCTTATACCTTTCAAGAACGCGATAACTAAGGGTTTAAAATAAGTATGGACACATCCTTTTGAAAAGAAACACTAACTCGAATCTTTTTTTTTCTTTTTTAGTTAACGGTGTTAAAACGATCCAATAACTACAACTATTCAACTGAAGTCATAAGAGTAGGAATGGGTAAGATTTTTATTATTAGTATTTTTTGGGTTGAGGAGGGTTCGAAGAACCTATATTTGGTTTGATTCACTAGTTGTGATTGCTTTTTTTGAGTCAATCCGACCCACTCGAAATTTTAGGTTGGTCTAAACGAATTTATAACTCAACTCAACCCAACCTACACTCCTTTTAGGATCGTTATTGTTTCATATTTGTAATAGATTTTAGCAACATGTTAGGAGATTTAGTAGTTAACGTGACATGTATTATGGATAAGTAAGAGTTTAACTGAGAAATATAATTCAACAATCGAGTGACTCAACTCGAAAATAGAGGCCCTTTAGGAACTTTTAGAGTATTTTTTTCAAATAAGTATAGTCCCAACATGACTAGGTATCTTAAAACAATGTCTCTCTCACACACACATTGACATTGTCCTTTCCGTGATATAATTCTATGCTCAAAATATGGCGTTTCTAAATCTATACTCAAACGACGGTGCTGTGAATGAGAGCTTCTTTTTTTTTTTTTTTGTTAACGTTTCGATCTCTCGTAGGTATATAAATGCCTTGGCTGTTCTGCACTGCTCCTTGATGATTAGCTGAAAGTTTGGCATACTTTTAAAGTGACTTTTTTCTATTGTTTCTAAAGAACAACATATTTGTTTGTACTCGTAGAAGTATAAAGGGTTTTGTTCTTTATTTTGATAGTGAGTGGACTTCACTAAACATGACTACGGCATGTCAAATGCTTAACAGGAGCTTTCAACATTGTCGACAAAGGTATGTTTCAATTCCTTCTCCACCACTGTTCTTACTCAAATTAATGTTAAATTATCAGCCATCCATACTTTTGATTCTTTTTAAAGTTATCTCACTATGAAAAACATGAAAGGAGAAAGGGGAAACAACATTAGGGTTCTGGTAGAGGGTAGAGGGAGCCTTATAAAGAATCACATTAAAAGAAAGTAAGATTCAGATTACCTTGTTGATCAAATATCTCACAAGAACGTTTGTTTGAGATTTGAATCACTCTACAAGTAAAAATCAATGATGTTAAACTTGAATGATTCTAAACATGCAACCTAAACGACACATAAACTTAATCATTGACTAAAAGAAAGCACAAATATTCTTTTTACTATATTTTCAAGTATACTACTTGCAGATACATAAACTAACGATGGATTTGGGCTGTTTATGAGCCCAGCCAAGGTATTGCCCGAGTTGATGGTGGAGGATGTAATACCTTCGCTGAAAGCAATACTTGGAGCACGAGGCGATGTCTCTTATGTCGGATTATCGTTCCAAGATGACAGAGTTAGTTCTCCCATCCAAATTCTCGTTCAGTAATATACTCTTAGCTGGGCTCATTGAATTTGGATTGACAATGGCAGTTGGATGGTTCATTCTTGAAAAATGGAGTTCCCTACTTGGGCTTTCTTCCCCAATGGCCTCTCGGGTACTTCAATTCTTAGAGAATGTAATTACTTTGTCGTTGTCATCACCCTTTTACCTCCTGGCTTCCACTGTCTTTTGTTAGATACAAAAATGATGAATGCAAGTATGAACAAATTATCAACAATCTGTCGATCAGTGATAATCTTTGATGTTTGATGCTAAGACGCGACCCATCAGGTTAAATGATGAATAGGTCCAAAAGTGTGAGATCCCACATTGGTTGGAGAGGGTAACGGAACATTCTTTATAAGAGTGTGGAAAACTTTCTCTAGTAGATGAGTTTTAAAAACTTTGAGGGAAGTCCAAAATGGAAAGCCCAAAGATGACAATATCTGCTAGCGGTGGGTTTGAGGCATTACAAATGGTATCAGAACTAGATATCGAGCAGTGTATTATCGATGACGTTGGCCCCCAAGAGGGTGGATGGTGAGATCCCACATTGGTTGAAGAGAGGAACAAAACATTTTTTATAAGGGTCTGGAATGTGAGATCCCACATCGGTTTGAGAGAAAGACCAAAGAAGACAATATTTGACAATATATATATATTTTTTTTTCCTTTTTCTTTTGTTTTTTTTGGTGGGGAGCTTCTTCTCCCTTTTCTACTCTTTTGGAACTTGATCAAATCCTTAGTAGAATGCAAATTTCAGGATTTTTTTTTTTTCAATTACCATATTACATTGCAAGATTATTAATTTAATATCGAATTTAAGTTTTTAAAAATTACTTAGAAAGTTATTTCAAACTGACTTGTAATTAGATTTACATATTTTAAATTTTGTATACAAAATCTAACACAAACAAATAGTTTTTATGGCTATTTTAGTATAAGACCGTCAAATTCAACCGTGTAGTGAAAAAGTAATTTTTATATTCTTTTCTCAGTAAAATTAAAAAATTCGACCACAGTGGGAGTCGAACCCACGACCTTTTGATCCGAAGTCAAACGCGCTAATCCACTGCGCTATGCGGTCATTTTGTGTTCAACGATCTTATAAATTAAAATAGATTCTTTATTTTTTTTGAAATTTTCCCTAAATAAGAAAAGAAACTTTAGCGCATCGTAGAAGACTCAAGTATATATTCGAGTCCACAATGTTTTTTTTTTTTTTTTTTAATTCTATTATTATATTTTTTTTATTGTGTTTCAATTTTTATTTTTTAAATTCTATTATTATTGTATATGTGTTAGTATCGAGAGGAAAAGAAAACAAAAGCGATTTCATAGTAAATAAGATTACCCTTTTGAGATTTTGAAAAGAGTTGCCTACTAACTTGGTCTATTCCGGTCGCTTTCTCCAAGATGATACCTTGCCTATTCTAGATCTTTCTATTTTTTCAAACATTACGTCTCTTTTCAACCGAACATTAATTCCTCACCGCTGACAAATAAGAATTTAGGCTAACTTCAACTATTTTTATACGGGGCACAGTTAATTAAACAAACATCCTTAGAGAATAAAATTAAACTTCAAATTTATTATAATTTTGGAGGAATTAAAATTTTATTTGTCTTTTTATTCTCTTAATTTCTAAAAAAAAAAGAAAAAGAAAAAGAAAAAAAGGCCGAACCTTTTATATAATAATTAAAAAATATATTTTTAACGAGTTACCTTCAGACTAAAATATATATTATTTAGTCATAAGAGATACTTTAGCAATATTATTATTTTTTTTATATCACACATTACAATTATTTTAATCACTTGTAGACTTAATAAATTCAATTATTTTGTTAAGAGTTATAATCCAATCCATATTTGGCATGGCAAGCGTTACGGGCTTTACTCGTACGCTTTTATGGGCCTTTAAGTAACGGGCCATTATGGAGGCCCAATATAATTGACTTTGAAATACACAACTGGGCCGATATCTTATAAGGCCCATTTACGTGAAGTTCCCAAACCCTAGCTCCACGAAGTCTGCGAAGGGTTTTATTTCTTTACCTATCAGCGCGCTCTTCTACGTTTGTTGTGTTTGCTCCCTCTCTTTTCTTCTGCATCTTCTTCAACAGATCCAGCTCGGAACCCTACGGCGGCGGAACTTTGATACGATGGTTCGTAATCGGCTTTACTTTCTTTTACTTGTTTCTGAATTCTCTCTTTAAGCGACGAAGGATTAGAAATCGGCGGGAAGTATGAAGCTATCTGTATTGATAATGTGTTTGAATGAACTTCTATTGTTCTTTGATTATCATTTTTTCATCGGAATTCCGACAAGGAAAGTTCTGGTTTATTTTTCTGTTTTGGTAGTCGGTACTTGCATTTTGTTCTCTTACTTTGGTAGATTGTATGTGTTTAGGCGCCAAAGAAGGATAAAGCTCCTCCACCGTCCTCGAAGCCTGCTAAATCTGGCGGAGGGAAGCAGAAGAAGAAGGTCAGATTCTTGTTACAGTATTTTTCGACTTTACTTCAATCCATGGCTATATTATTGTAGTTGATCCTGGCTATTCCTTCAGCCGTTCTGTCTGCCGTGGATTATTGTTCAAGTTCTTGTGTGATTCTACGATGTGCTGTGGGAAAAATGTTTCTAATACTTATACTAAATTCGAAAATATCGTTTCGTTCAAACTGTATGAGGAAAATGAGGAATCATCGAAATAAGAGGACATATAATTTAGTACTTCTGACTGTAGGAGGGAGTATCTCGTGTTGTTTATTGCTATCCTGTCAACTGTGAATTGTCGATTCTAAATGCTAAGATTGCGCAGTTTTCTCATCTATAATTCTGTTTATCATTGTTAATATAACAGAAGTGGAGCAAGGGAAAGCAAAAGGAGAAGGTCAACAACATGGTTTTGTTTGATCAAGGAACCTATGACAAGCTTCTCGTTGAAGTTCCGAAGTACAAGCTTGTCACTCCTTCAATCTTGTCCGACAGGTTGAGGGTAAGTTTTTCAACGTCGTCTCATCCATCATGTAGAACATGTTTCATGTTTTTGATTGGATTGCATATTCAATCACAATTATGTTATTCTAGTCAATTTGTGATGCTTCCTGATATGAACAAAATGAATGTTCATACATTTTCATTCAAAAATAGTTTAAATAATTATTTGATCCATTGATTCTATCCGACTGCTTTTTTTCATTCATAAGTAAGAGAGTTTCAGTATAGTTTATTGAAACACTTCCCCTTCCCCTTCCCCCTACCCCTTCCCCTCTTCTCTGTACTTCGTAGATTCTTGTTTTTCTCTAAATTTGCTCGTTGTGTGTCTGGTTTCCATTTTGTCTCAGAAAATCAATTGGGTTTTTCCGAATAAGATGATACATAAGTAATATATTGCAATCCCTAATTCAAAAGTGTACCAAATATCTAATGATCTATAAATGCATTAGGGCCCAATTCTTTTTTTTTGCCTATGAGGAAGAAAATTAGCATAAGATCCTAGGGTATGTTATGTTATTTTGGAACATGTTGGTTGCAGCCAACCACTATTCGACATCATCGAGTTCTAATAAGTATACGTTTTTTTAAGATTCAAAAGGTCCGTTGAGCGGATCATGAATATCATAACAGATTCAAACACTTTACCTGAATCAATACAATTTGTTATTTGACAAATGATTCTCTGCCATTTCAATTTTCAGATCAATGGATCGCTAGCACGAAGAGCAATCAAAGATCTGATGGCCAGAGGTCTCATCAGAATGGTGTCTTCACATTCCAGCCAGGAGATCTACACAAGGGCCACCAATACCTAATTTCCTTTCGTATCTTTAGAGTTGTCAGGAATTAGCCTTCTTACTCAAGTTTCTGCTTGATGCTTCTAATGTCTTCACATGGATGATAAAATTTTGCAATTTTCTTTTTTTGAATTTTGCCATTTGGAGAGGAATTGTCTTGGTGTTATCTTCCTTGTTAATTACTATTTCTAAAATTTATTAAGTTCCCAAACATTTGAAAGTTTATCGATCGGGGTTAGTCGGTGTAGGTTTTTTATCAAACCTAGCCGTGGACTTTGAAGTTTTCATAGAAAATTTGTTGACTGAATTTGATGGGTCATGGTTTGTTTATCTGTTTTTTCATGATTTACGCTTTGATGGGGTTGTTGGTCCTACTATAACGGCCGAAGCCAATGGTTAACAGATAAGCGTCATCTTTGGCCTTTCTTTGAGATTTTTAAAATGTGATATTTTCCCATTTGGATTTTTTCTTTCGGAGTCCTCCTAACCTTTTTATAAAGGTTTTTAAAATGCTTTTGTTTAAAATGCTTTTGTTTTGGAGAAGTTTACCTACCCATATTTGGCACTCATTCTTTTGGGGCCTAGTCCTTCTTTTGGGGCCTAACAACTTTATTGGTACTCTCTCATTGATATGGGATCTTTCAATTCACTCCGACATTGGCTCACTTCTTTGTGTCCACCCCCTTCAAAGCCAAGCTTTAGGTATTTGGGATCCACTCTTCTTCGGGACCTTGTGTTCTCATTGGTTCATCATTAGGTGTCTATCCCCTTTGGGACCAAATCTTGGAGGCTCCAGTATTTTGCTCTAATACCATTTGTAATAGAACCAAACTCATGCTAGCTTTCTCTTTTGAGTTTTCTCTCAAATTTTAAAACGTGTTTGTTAGGGAGGAGAGGTTTTGACGTCTATAAAAAATACTTCAAATTAAGAAATAGAGAAGGGTTAATTCTTTTTTATTAAAATAATTTTTGATTGGTCCATTATTATAATCTACTTTAGTCATTTGATTCAAAATTTACCACAAGCTAGTAATATTCAGAGAGAACCATAAACTAATATAAATAAGTTTATGAACCTACTTTTATCCATTAAGCAAATTCAATTTTAGTTTAGTAGATAATTTATTAATTATAAACTAAAAAATAATTATGTAAACAAAAATGGTTAAATGTTATAATAATTATTTAATACCGTTAATTAAATTCAATATAATAGTTCCAATTTTTCTTTTTTTAAAAAATCGAAATTAACTAAAGGGAAAAAATTGTAAGTAAAATTGCCATATAAAGGAAATCAAACAGAAAAGCGTGGAACTTTGGAGTAAATGAACCTTCGCGAGTGTATGTGCAGAGGAGAAAATCGATAGGCGGGAGGACGATCGAGAGAAAATGGCAGCTTCTTCGTCTTCCTTCGTCGCCACAGCTTCTCAGAAGGTCGGACCAGCTGCTCGCCGCCAAATTCTTACTCTGACGGAGGCCGCTGCCGCTAGAATTCGACAACTTCTTCAACAGCGCCAGCGTTCATTCCTTCGCCTAGGCGTCAAGTCTCGCGGCTGCAATGGCTTGTCCTATACTCTCAACTATGCAGGTTTGTAATACCTATTGATTTCAAACTTTTATCGATTAGATGCAGCTTCTTTTTAATCATTATACACGTCTGAATTTGGCGGATGTTGATGCTTGGATTTAATACGAGATAAATAGGTATTTGTTGTATTTGAGAGATATAACCTAATTGTTTAGAGGTGACGTGGAGAAACGGAGTCCTCTAGAAGGTGAATTCTTGATATTTAAACTGTTTCCAGCTCTAGCTACCATGAATTACGATGTTAGGCCGATGATTCATCCTGATGATTAGATGTCAAAAAGTTGGAAGTTTAAATGAACCTGTAATTGTGATTTACCGGAATTGGACCTAGCTTTGATATATAACTTGTTCGAAGATGAGCTGTTGAATTATTGCTAATCTTAACAGACGACAAATATGAAGATAAAGCTGACATGCCTGAATGCTGAAGTCTACCGATTAGAGATGACTTTATAGGTTGGGATTGTTAGGGACTCTCACGTTGACTAATTAAGGGGAAGATTATGGTTATATAAGTAAGAGACCCTATCTCAATTGGTACGAGGTTTTTTGGTAAAATCAAAAGTAAAGTTATGAGAGCTTATGCTCAAAGTGGACAATATCATATTATTATGGAGATATGTTGTTCCTATCAAAGACTATGTATGAGATAACTAATAGTTCAGACTTTAAATATATCCGTCCAAGCCCACCGCTAGCAGATGTTGTCCTATTTGAGTTTTCTTTTCTGGGCTTCCCCTCAAGGTTTTAAAACGCGTCTACTAGGGAGAGGTTTTCATGCCTTTATAGGAATGCTTCATTCCTCTCTCCAACCGATGTGGAATCTCACAATCCACCCCTTTAGTGTGCCAGAAAGGCTCGGTGTTTGCCTGTGATTCCATTTGTGACAACTCAAGCCCATTGCTAACAACTATTATCCTCTTTGCCCTTATGGGCTTCAAGATTTTGAAACGCGTCTACTAGGGAGAGGTTTTCACACCTTTATAAGGAATGGTTCGTTCCCCTATTCAACCGACATGGGATCTCACGTTAAATGAGTTATGTGACAGGAAGTTTAGATTCAATAATTTACTTCACAAACTTATGAGAGATGGATTAGTGGGTTATTGAACATATCACAACCCCAGACTAATCTATGGTGAAGATTTACTTCACGAACTTATGAGAGATGGATTAGTTATTAACATGATAGATGGCCAGAAGTTTTCGATTTCAACAATTTTGTTGTAACAACCCAAGCCCACCTCTATTAGATATTGTCCATTTTGACCCATGACGTATCGTCATCGGCCTCACGGTTTTAAAACGCGTATGCTAGGGAGAAGTTTCCACACCTTTATAAAGAATATTTCGTTCTCCTCTCCAACCGACGTGGGATCTCAAACCTGTAGCTTGAGACTTTTTTTATTGTTTGTGTTTATCTAATATTTCTATCCTCTCAGTGAACCGGATTTGCAATTCAGTTTCTTATGGATTCGCTCATGATTGGATAATTTTCTTACTCAGCATTACCTGAGTTTTATAATCACATTATCATTAATTTCCGTTCATTTTCAATGAACAAGAAATAGAATGCAGCCTTTATCTCTCCTTTTGGCACAAATGGACTGTCATGACCTCTATTTCTTTAAACAGTTCAAGATTGCAGTACTTCATTTTAAAGTTTTCTCTTTTCAAATACTTCAGATGAGAAGGGAAAATTTGATGAGCTGGTTGAGGATAAGGACGTGAAGATATTGGTTGATCCAAAGGCGCTGATGCATGTAATAGGAACAAAGATGGACTTTGTAGATGATAAACTGAGGTATTTGAGAACTCTCTACCACAATTTTATATTTTCAGCTCTATTTCTATCCATATGTTGAGGGAATATCCTGCTTCTTAGATACAACTTACAATATCAATCCGACATATAAAAGCTTGTGTGTTTATATTTAAATGAGTAAGCATGTGCATTTGTATGTAAACCTATTGTTCTACATTTATCACGGCACCTCGTGTGAGATCCCATATCGGTTGGAAAGGAAAACGAAGCATTTTGTCTAGAAGTGTGGAAACCACTCCCTAGTAGACGCGTTTTAAAAACTTCAAGGGGAAACTCGAAAGGGAAAGCCCAAAAAGGATAATATTTGCTATGGTGAGCTTGAGCTATTACAAATGGTATCAGAGCCAAGCACCAATGCTGGGCCTCGAAGGGGGATGAATTGTGAGATCCCACGTTAGTTGGACAGGAAAACTACACATTCATTTTAAAAACTTTAAAGGAAAATCCGAAAGGGAAAGCCCAAAGAGAACAAAATCTTCTAGAAGTGAGCTTTGGCGGTTACACCTCGGCAACGATATTTTATTATTTCAGAGTTTGGACATATTTCAATAGGTTTTAATCAGCTGTTTTGATTCTCAAATTTGTTAGGTTATCTCGAGTTTTGATTCTCGAATGAAATCCAACCTTTTAACCCCTGTAGTACTGCTGTATTCAGTTGTGAATGAAACTTAATTTTTTTTTCTGTCTCTGTCTTCTTGGTAGATCCGAGTTCATCTTTATCAATCCAAATTCTAAAGGACAATGTGGGTGTGGGGAGTCGTTTATGACAACAGGCAGTGCAAAGGCAGTTGAACAATGAGCAACTACACCAAGAGAGTGAAACAGTTGTAAGAATGTTTGTTTTATTTATGTCTAATTATATTCTTAAAACCCATTTAAGCAGCCCCTTGTGATCTGCTAATTAGTTTCTTTTGTTTTGTATGTACATATTGTTGAGTGCAGTGGCTAAATAAGTTCTCTGAGGTCAGTAATCAAATTCTCCCACTACTTTCCCTTGTTCTAGAATTTGGTGGTTGAGATCATAGGATAAGAGCACTCCCACTCCCTTCTTGTCAAATGTCTTCATATTTCATATCACTTATCACTTATTAAAGTATAATTCAACAGTTCGCTTATTGAGATCATAGCGAAAATGGTTTAACAATGACTTAAATAATTGAGATTGTTTATTATCACTTACGTTATTTTTTGTGATGTCCCAACACAAACATGTGGAAACCTTCCTCTAGCAGACGCGTTTAAAGCTTTGAGGGAAGTCCGAGAGGGAGAGTCCAAAGAGGACAATATTTGCTAGCGTGGGCTTGGGTTGTTACAAATGGTATCAGAACCAAACACCGGATGATGTGCTAGCCTTCTCGCTATTCCCCGAAGGGGTAGACATGAGGCGGTGTGCTAGTAAGGATGCTGGGCTCTATAGGGGGTGGATTTAGTGGGGCGTCCCACATCAATTCGAGAAATAAATGAGTGCCAGCGAGGACGTTAGGCCCCGAAGGGGGTGGATTATGATGTCCCACATTGTTTGGGGGAAAACGAAACATCATTTATAAGAGAGTTGAAACCTTCTCCTAACAAATGCGTTTTAAAGCCTTGAGGGGAAGTCTGAAAGCTCCCTTAAAGGAAAGTCCAAGGCGGACAATATCGGTTAGCGGTAGGCTTGGACAGAAAGATATGCATAAATAACTAATTTTTTTTGAAATTGGATCATATTAATAGTAAATTAATTTAGTTCTACAAACACCATTAACTATTCTAGCTAATAGCTATTACCGTCTATTTGAATGTGATTAGTCTATATTTTAATGAATATTTTATGTCTTTGTTTTGGCTTTTTTAAAAGATTCTGTTCTATAGAATTTTTATCCAACATATATAGTTAATTTAAAAAAAATAAATTCTAGACTTGTGAAAAATTAAACTTACAAATTTTCCTCTTACATAATTTTTTTTTTTTTTTGTTTATTTATCTATTTTTTACCTATATTTTTTAAAAAATATGTTGAATTTTAAAATTTGAAGTAAAGTAAATTTTAAAAATTTTAAATTTGGGTGAAATTGTAAGAAGAAAGATTAACGGAATTAGAAAAATAAAAAAATAATAAAAATCACAATTTTTTAAAACATTATTATAATTCAGCGCGAGGCGGCTCCATATCTTAAAAATAATAACAGAAATTGATGCAGGCGATTCTATGCCGTAGCGCTCTGCTTTGGGCGTTTGGCGCTGCGGATGCCTCGAGGAGGGAAAATAATAATGGCCGCCATGGCCAACTGGAACAACCTTGAAGCTTATGTAAATCGGTAGCTATGGAGAGAGGCGTTCAGAGATGGGCTGTTGACATCTCCGAGTGGAATCCTTCTCCCCCTGAGTTCTCCTCTGCGCTGACTCTTCTCCCTCGCCATGAACATTCCTCCATCCTTCGGTTAGTTCCTTTAACTGAATTTCTGCTGCAATATCTTTGCCTCATTTTCTGAATTTTGAATGAGACATGAACGCTTTCGATATGTCTTGGTTATTATTATTTTGTTTCTGTTTGTTTCTTCAGAATATTGAACTAGAAACTGAAATTGATTGCAAGTTTGTAGCTCTCTCTGGGAATAGATGTGGAATCCTTGGTGAATATACATAAACCAGTCGCCGATTTTTGAAAATATAACCATTTTATTATCGAAGTTTTCTTGATGTGTGTTTTAATCTTTGAATTTATAAAAGATAATATGTTTGTGGTTGCCATATTACGTGTGAGATCTCACATCGGTTGGAGAGGGGAACGAAACATTCTTATAAGAGTGTGGAAACTTCTCACTAGTAGATGCGTTTTAAACCCTTGAGGGAAACCCGAAAGGGAAAGCCCAAAGAGGACAATATATGCTAATTGTGGGTTTGGGCTGTTACAGAGGTACTAGAGCCAGACATCGGGTGGCGTGCCAACAAGGACGTTGGGCCCCCAAGGAGAGGAACGTAACATTCTTATAAGGGTGTAGAAACTTCCCCCTAGCAGATGCGTTTTAAATCCTTGAGGGAAACCCGAAAAGGAAAGCCCAAAGAGGACAATATCTGCCAGTGGTGGGTTTGGGCTGTTACAGAGGTACTAGAGCCAGACATCGGGTGGTGTGCCAACAAGGACGTTGGACCCCCAAGGAGGGGAACAGAACATTCTTATAAGGGTGTGGAAACTTCCCCCTAGTAGATGCGTTTTGAACCTTTGAGGGAAACTCGAAAAGGAAAGCACAAAGAAGACAATATCTGCTAAGGGTGGGGTTTGGGCTGTTACAGAGGTACTAGAGCCAGACATCGGGTGGTGTGCTAACAAGGACGTTGGACCCCCAAGGAGGGGAACATAACATTCTTATAAGGGTGTAGAAACTTCCCCTTAGTAGATGCGTTTTAAACCCTTGAGGAAAACCTGAAATGGAAAGCCCAAAGAGGACAATATCTGTCAGCGGTGGGCTTGGGCTGTTACAGAGGTATAAGACCCAGACATCGGGTGGTGTGCCAATAAGGACGTTGAGCCCCCAAGGAGGGTGGATTGTGAGATCCCACATCGGTTGGAGAGAGGAACAAAACATTTCTTATAAAAGTGTGGAAATCTTTCCCTAGTAGACGCGTTTTAAAACCTTGAGAGGGAAGCCTGAAAGGAAAAACCCAAAGAAGACAATATCTGCTAGCGGTGGGCTTGAACTGTTACATTACGTGAGTTAGATTTTGCTCATGTTAACATGGGTAAGTATCAAAATGATTCCATTGAGATATACATTTTAAAAGTTCATGATAGGATTTGGAACTTTTTTGCTACTATTTGTGAGTGTCCAAATCAATTTGGGCACATCTGGACTATTTTAACGCCTTACCCTACTACGTTAGATTACCAAGAAAATTCTTAAGATATTAAATCCTAGATACTATAACGGGAACTCATTCACTTCGAGCTCGTTACTATTTTCATCGGTTTTTATTAACCATTGACCACGAGGCGAACCCAAGTAGTTTATGAGATTTAAACCTGTTTCCTTTTTTTATATTCTTTGAGAATTTGATCCATACCTTTTCCCATTAGAAATGATCTTACAATTATATTTTTGATGAACAATTAAGCCATAGTGGTGGTTGACCTCTATTTATTTCCTTGTTCATAGATTTTTTAAGATGGAAGACAGGAAACGTGCGCTTGTGAGTCGGCTGCTTCAGTATGTTCTTGTGCAATACATATTGAAAATCCCTCACGATGAAATAATTATCAAGCGCACATTGGAAGGCAAGCCATATCTGGTATGGTTGGAATTTGGAATATATAAATAATAAGTTGCACGTTTTTTTTTTATTAATCCCGATAAGTATGATCCGTGTTCTGAACTAAAATAGTTTAGGCCTCGTTTAGTAACCAGAAAATTTGCTTGTGACATCGAGTTTTATCTTTCTTAAGAAAATATTCGAATTCTTAGCTAGATTTCAGAAACAAAAACAAGTTTATAAAACTACGTTTTTAGTTTTCAAAACTTAGGTTTGGTTTCTGAACACATATGTAAAACGTAGATAACAAAACGGGAAGCCCGAAGAACAAGGACCCTTCTCTTTTCGGCTCGGATACTTATCGAGTTTTGATATTTGATAGCTCCATGTGTTGATGGTTAGTTCTACAGCATTCAAGACGTTAACTAATATCATCCAAATTCTGTACTATCTTTTCAGGAATGTGATAAAGTTGGCTCAGAATTTCCCAATTTTAATTTCAATGTATCACATCATGGTGATTATGTGGTGATAGCATCAGAGCCTCTCTCTCTTGTGGGGTTGGATGTTGTCTCTTACGCCATTCCCCAAAATGAGGATACCATTGCATTTGTTAAGAACTTCTCCTCTTACTTTTCGAGTTTAGAATGGAAGAACATCATGAATGCTAGCTCTAGCTCGAGTGTTTTGGTCGAGTTTTGCAGGTTCGATTGAACTCCAACTTTGTCGTTTAGCTCTCTATGAATGCATTTCGATTTAGTTTTCTTCATTTAGACCCTAACTGTGCGATCCCACATCGGTTGGGGAGGAGAACGAAACATTCTTTATAAGGGTGTGGAAACCTCTCCCTAGCAGACGCGTTTTAGAAACCTTGAGGGGAAGCCCGAGCTTGGGCTGTTACAAATGGTATCAGAGCCAGACACCGGGCGATGTGCTAGCAAGGAGGCTAAGCCCTGAAAGGGGGTGGACACGAGGCAGTGTGTCAGCAAGGATGCTGGGCCCCGAAGGAGTAAATTGAGAGTCCCACATCGATTGGAGAAGGGAATGAGTGCCAGCGAGGATGTTGGACTTTGAAGGGGGGTGGATTGTGAGATCTCACATCAGTTGGGGAGGAGAACGAAGCATTCTTTATAAGGGTGTGGAAACCTCTCCCTAGCAAATATGTTTTAGAAACTTTAAGGGGAAGCCTGAAAGGGAAATCCCGAAGTAAATAAATAATTGGAGTTATTAACTGTTTCGGTTGGGGCGCAGATATTGGTCTCTCAAAGAAGCATATGTGAAAGCTATTGGAAGGGGAATGATGGCATACGGGTTGGAGCAAGTTGAGTTTCTTCATGATGGATGGAACAACATACGGGCTAAAGTTGGAGGGGAAATTCTGAAAGACTGGAGATTTTGGGTCTCAGAGATGGGAAATAAACATTGTGTAAGTTTCACATTACAGGATCTTTATGGCCTATCTTTTGAATGTTTAGATTAGAGATTTCGAATTGAATTCCTTTCGTCAACAAGAAATATTCTTCGAACTTTATCGGTCTAACTGAAAAAAAAAAATCAACACGTGAAAAATCTTGTCGAATTGTATCGTTCTAACTAGATGAGAATTCAAGTTATGTATTTCTCGAACGTAGAGTTTGAAATAGTATCTAAATTGTTAAAACTATAGGGATTGAATTCTAATTTTTTAAACCAATGATGGATCGAGAAGGGCCATTCTTTCCTTCACTTTGTCTTTGCTCATGTGAGATCCTACCTTGATTGAGGAGAAGAAAAAACATTCTTTATAAGGGTGTGGAAGCCTCTCTCTTGCAAATGCGTTTTAAAAACCTTCAAGGAAAGTCCGGAAGACACCAAAACAAGACAATATCTGCTAGCGGTGGACTTGGACTGTTATAGCTCATAACTTGCACTAACCATGAAAAAAATAAGTTAGCTCGATTGAGAAATAGCTAGAAGCTATAAACTTATGGTCTAGCTATAAACTTACGGTCATTTGCTCACTGTTGAGTTTGAATAGAGTGACTGAAAGCTGATGATATCCACTTTTGTCAATGTTTTCTTATTGATCTCAGGTTGCAGTTGCCAAGGGGCACCCGAGATCGGCTACCGAGAGCTACCAAAGGACTCTAACAAGGACGGAGTTCGAACCCGATGAATATCGTGCTGGTCTTCTTCTTCCCAATGTCAGCTTTGTGTCAAAAAGTGTAGAACAACTAATTTCCATATCCATGGAGTGAGGCTTTGATACCTGAAGACTGATTGTGAAAGATAGTTCAGCATGCTTGTTTGGCTAACTTGGGCATATAAACCATCAATTGTTGAGGGTTGAGTTTTACGGTGAAAACGTGTGCGTAAGTGATTTTGAAATTCTAGGCTTTTGGATATTAAAAGTAGCTAAAATTAGGGGTGTAAAAGAATCAATATCCCGACCAACTCAACTGCGAGGTGCAAATATATGAAAATTTTATGAATTAGGCTAGTTCATAAATTCCCTTCCCACGAAATTTCTCATTTATTGGGTGGGGACGAGGAAGCCTGAGATGGTGAACTGTCTTGTTAAGATCTCTTCTATGCTGAGAATCATCTGTTTTTCCCCATTTTGATTGACCTTGACCGGTCATTGCTGAAAAATCTGGCCCCAGCCCTTTATTGAGATAATGGAAGCTTCTTGTCAGGCCGAAGAATGTGCGGGCTCGGAGGCTCAAAATCTAGCATAGGCTAGCAGGCCGACGGCAACTCCAACTCATCGCAATCCTGCAATCCCCCAGGCAGAAATTTCCCAAATGGACTGAGTTGGAACTATTTAGACGATACATTTTATTAGTTATTTTAAAAGTTTTCATATTTTAATATAATATTTTTTAAACCAATCCTAATAAATAGATATATCTTTGTAATGGTCTGGCAATCTAATTTTTAAAATTTTTAATTTTAAAATTACATTACCATCTTTAATAATTTAAAAAAATCTGAGATAGTATTTAGTTTAAATATTATAATTAGTGTTTATAAATTAACTAATTTATTTTTAATTTATATTTCTAAAATAGTAAAAGAGCATTTACAAAAATATATATATATTTCATATTGAAAATATATTTATATTAAGTACGGATGAGAAAAAAAATAGACACTCATTCTTCGTTTAAACTAAAAATCTTCTCCCAATTTAAGTGAGTCTCCGATAAAACAGACATTCATCTCTACTTTTTAACTTTTTAACTATGAATCCAAAATTTTAAATATTTTGAATGTAATTTTTTAAATATATAATAAAATTGACTTATAAATCTTAATTTAAGGTCGGCAAATAAATAAAAATATATTTTATTTAAAATTTTTTATGGACTATATATTATGGTAGTTGAAATTATTAATATATTTTTATATTTTCGGTTATTATTTAAAGGGTAAAGCCACGTGGATGCTACGTGAAAAGGAAAAGAAAAGAAGAGAAAAAACCTAACGTCTCATTCTCCCTTCGCTCTCACTGTTTTCAGGCCGCCGGCGACTTGCAGGACCGCGACGACGCTACGGCCTCAGGCATCTGCCTTTCCCGTAGGGTTCTGTAGCGCTCATCACCACGAGCTTAAGAGCGACGGATACACAAGCGGCGGCGGACTCAAGAGACCTTCTCCGGCGAACCACGAGCGTTGCCGGCGCAGCTTCCTGTTTATCAACGCCGGCTCATAAAAAAAAAAGAAAACCAGTGTTTTCGGGGAACGGGTGTATTCGGTGTTGTTTTTGTGCACTATATTGGCAGTCGAGATTGCATTAGCATCTTACATTTGCCTAATCGTTCTGATAGTTAGTACACACTGAAATCTCAGTGGTTCAACCGAAATGGCGGCTTTCAATCTCGTTGTGAATATGTATGATCCGGCTTTGAAGCCTCGCTTGATACACAAGCTTCTCAGGGAACATGTTCCGGACGATAAACAGACGTTTAATGATCATTCAGAACTCTCGAAGGTGGTTTCTATGGTCAAAATCCATAATCTCCTCTCTGAATCTTCGTCTTCCATGGACCAAAAACTGATGGATAGCTGGAAATCCGCCGTTGATTCCTGGGTCAACCGCTTGCTTGTTCTGCTCTCTAATGATATGGTATGAACATGCATTTCATCTAATTCTGTTTAAATTACAAATTTTATCTAATCCTTTTCTTTATACTCTCTCCTATGGGTTTGGCTCTGATTTCTGGTAGACTCCTTAGTTGTTCAAACTTGAATGATACGGTGGGAAACGAAGAGTCTGAGAGTCTGTTAGGTTTTATGACTAAATAAATTAGTGCTGCTTACAAGGAGAAAAATTAGGGCTACTCTTAGAGCTAAACCTAAAATTTGATAAAATAAATATTGATTGTGATGTACAACACAGAAAACCCTAGGGATGGGGAGGGACTTTAGCTTTTACTTCAAAAAAATATTATTATGATTTAGAACAAATGGAAACTTCTAGGATGCCTATGACGATGTATTCTAAAGACAAAATGGGATTCATTAAGGCCATTCCAAACTTCATCAGGTGAGATTTTACAATACGAAATTGATATTGTTGCACAAAGTTACTGAGAAACTCAAGATTTCAAACTTGCTTGAATATTTAGCTTTTCAATGACAAGCAGGAAAATAAGAAATGATATTGACTATCTTTTTTGAGAAATTGCACAATTTCATTTAGCGGTGACTAATGTTAACTTCCAATTTTTTTAAAGCCTGATAAATGTTGGGCTGGAATCATTTTACTGGGCGTGACTTGTCAACAATGCAGCTCGAGTCGTTTCTTGGCATCATATGCAGATTGGCTTCACAAGCTTCTGCCTCACTTGCAGGTAATAATTTTTTTTTTTTTCTTGGATGGATTCCTCAGTATTTAGCTACAAGTATTGAGTGGCGAAGATCTTAAATGATGAAGTATGTCTAAAGAAGAACAGGACTTATTATACATTGGACAGAAGTAAGATACGGGGGAGAAGCAATGATTCTGGATAGAATTTGTTATAATCGAAGTGATTATTGCTCGTTGGACAGAATGCATAATAACTTGCTGGAGTAATTTTCTAAAAATTGCCATAAGATAACCATTGGCTGTTCATTAATGCTAATGGAACTAGGGAACTGGCACATAGCTATTTTCGAGCATACTAATTTGATGTTTGTCATGATCGATGATGCGAGAGTTCTGAATCAGGGGATATGCTAATAATTTTCACGTGGTTCATTTTATCAAGTATAAAGTGGGAATGCTATGTAATTACAGAAGTTGTCAAGTTCCTTCTTTTGCTGTTTGATTTATTTATATAGTTTTCATCTTTAGCTTTTCAACTCATAATAGATCGTCATGCTTTCTTATACTTAAATGCTACCAAAAGTTTTACACTATTTTGTTTCTTGTGTTTTTTCTTTGTTCTATAGACAGATTCTCTGTTTCTGAAGGTGGCCACGTGTGCTTCGATCTCAGATTTATTCTTGAGGTACATCTTCATCTGACCTTGGACAGAAATTTATCATACAATTTTTCCCTCAAACATAAATCAATTAGTTAAATATACCCGTATGTGCGATCCCACATCGGTTGGAGAGGGAACGAAACATTCCTTATAAGGGTGTGGAAACCTCTCCCTAACAGACACCTTTTAAAACCGCGAGGCTGACAATGATACGTAATGAGCCAAAACGGACAATATCTGCTAGCGGTGGGCTTGGGTTGTTACAAATGGTATCAGAACCAGACATCGGGCGGTGTGTCAGCGGGGACACTAGGCCCCCAAGGGGGGTGGATTGTGATATCCCACATCGGTTGGAAAGGGGAATGAAACCGTCCTTATAAGGGTGTGGAAACTTCTCCCTAACAGACGCGTTTTAAAACCGTGAGGCTGACGGCGATAGGTAACGGACCGAAGCGGACAATATTTGCTAGCGGTGGGCTTGGGCTGTTACACCTTCCCAAAAGAAAAATATCAATGTTAAACCTTTTGCAAATGAAAAATAATTTTTAGGATTTGTATATTGTCGTTCCTATATAGACTTTGAGATCTGTAGATTCAACTTTTGAATGCTGGCTTAAGAATAATAGACAACTGGTTTAATCTCATTCTGCAGGTTATTACTTTTAGTTTATTTTGTCTATAACTTTAAAGTAACATGCTTGACCATAATTTGGCTGGTTTCATGACTTGTAATGATCTCTCTTTTACAAACTAGATTGGGCCGATTTCCAAACGTGAAGAAAGATGGGACTTCTTGTGCTGGGAAGGTCATTCAACCAGTAATTAAGCTGTTGCATGATGATAATACAGAAGTTGTTTTGGTAAGTAGTACAAGTAAAAGCACAGTTTTTGTAGACTATTTCCATGTGTTTAGGTGCTCAATAATTTTGGAACTACGATTTCGGTGATCTGTGCCAACGCCTCATATCCTTTTGTACTCTTTGCTCGGTAGTTAGAACTTTCGTTACCCATTCATATATGTAATGATCTGCATGTTGGTTGATGCAGGATACAGCAGTTAATCTATTATGCACTCTGATTGCTTTCTTTCCCTTTACAATCCATCGTCATTACGACTCTGTAAGTGCTTTATTGAATAATGTGATTTCCATTCTATTATAAATTGCATTCATGGGACTAATGGTAGTTATCCAACTTATCTGTATACCGATGGTGTAATCTAAGCTGCCAAAAGAAAAATTCACAAAAAAACTGCAATGAAAAGCTGGAAAGAGTATACCAATACTAGCTAGAAGAATTTAATTTTTTCCCACAACTCTACTCAATCAATAGAAATTTATTCCTATTCTTCTTCCACCAAATGCTCATACCAAGGGATAGCTTAGCAGTTCAACTTTGTTGGTATTCCAACAATTTTTATAAAATTTAATAGCAAACCTTTTTGTCCCAGAGGTATGAGGGCTGTCATTTATATTACTTGGCTGGCCTTTCTCAACATCTCAGCTCATATGGCTTCATGTTGTCAGCATGTTATTTATCGGCATAAATGAAAAATCTAAGAACGTAGAAATCCCGGACAAAGTTTGTTTTAATGTTGAAATATCGATGCTTGTTTATTATTGCTGAATTGACTAGTGAAATGTTCTGCAGGCCGAAGCTGCAATTGTTTCAAAAATCTTTTCAGGGAAGTGTAGTTTCAATATGCTGAAGGTATTTGGCCTCTTTTTAATTTAATTTAATCATAGATACCACTATAAACATCAAATTTCTCCTATAATTTTCTGTCTCTGTTTCATATCCAACATTTAGAAGCTTGCTCACTGCCTAGCATCACTTCCAAAATCAAAAGGAGATGAAGATAGCTGGACTGTACTAATGCAGAAGATTTTGTTATCAATTGACGTACACTTGAATGAGGCCTTCCAAGGCATTGGTGAAGGTAAACATGAACTGTATATCAAGTAGAGCTATCCTAATTTATGAAGATGGT